CTCCTCAGGGCCGCCATGACACCCGGGCCTTGCCTCCCCCTCTCTTTCCTTCCCCTTCCGGGAGCGCAGTCTGTTCAGTGCTTTCCCCTGCTCCCGCCTCCCTCCTCCTCCTCCTCCTCCCCGCTCCCTCTTCCCCGTGGCCAGCGGGCTCCAAGCCTCTTCCTTCCTTGTGTTGTGGAAGGAAGGCTTTCCCGGCTGGACTCCCTCCCTCCCTCCCTCCCTCCCGGGGGGGCAGGGGCGGGGGGGGAGTCTCCCTTCCGGGCGGCTGCCTGGCCACTCTCTCCCTTCCAGCAGCACTCCCTCCTGGCGTTCCCCCCACACCTCTGGCTCAGGGCCTCCTCCTCGGAGGGGGTGGGGTCTGGTAGAAAGACGGAAAACGGGCTTTCTCTCTCTCTCCCCGTCTCTCTCTCTCTCTCTCTCTCCCCGTATTGGATGATTTATTTATTTATTTTTTCGTGTCAGACAACCAGTCCATTATATTACATTTCTAACAGAACAAAGCAAACAAACATACAAATACAAAAGTTTGGTAGTTGGTTAAATGTCCTTTGACCAGTCTCTGGCCCCTTGGAGTGCCGCCTCTGGTGTTGCCGCAAGGAGGTCCTCCCTTGTGCATCATGTGGAAGAAGGGCTCAGGGTGCATTGCAGCAGGTGGTCAGTGGTTTGCTCTTCTCCACACTCGCATGTCGTGGATTCCACTTTGTGGCCCCATTTCTGAAGGTTGGCTCTGCATCTCGTGTTGCCCGAGCGCAGTCTGTTCAGTGCTTTCCAAGTCTTCTTCTGTGTGCCCAGGGGGGAGTCTCTCATTTGGTATCAGCCATGGATGAGGTTCTGGTTTGAGCCTGCCACTTTTGGACTCTCGCTTGCTGAGGTGTTCCAGCGAGTGTCTCTGTAGATCTTAGAAAACTATTTCTTGATTTAAGTCGTTGACGTGCTGGCTGATACCCAAACAAGGGATGAGCTGGAGGTGTCTCTGCCTTTGTCCTTTCACTATTGGCTGCAACTTCCCGGCGGTGGTGCAATGCCAGCTAGCAGTGTAATTTCTCCAGTGGTGTAGGGCGCAGACACCCCGTGATAATGCGGCATGTCTCATTAAGAGCCACATCCACTGTTTTAGTGTGGTGAGATGTGTTCCACACTGGGCATGCATACTCATCAGCAGAGTAGCACAGCGCAAGGGCAGATGTCTTCACTGTATCTGGTTGTGATCCCCAGGTTGTGCCAGTCAGCTTTCGTATGATATTGTTTCTAGCGCCCACTTTTTGCTTGATGTTCAGGCAGTGCTTCTTGTAGGTCAGAGCACGGTCCAGAGTGACTCCTCCCAGGCATTTGGGTGTGCAGCAATGCTCTCGTGGGATTCCTTCCTTCCCAGGTAATAATCCTCAGAGCTCGGGATGCTTGTCTGTTCTTGAGATGAAAGGCACTTGCCTGTGTTTTAGATGGGTTGGGGATCAGCTGGTTTCCCCTGTACTCTATTTTGCAGTGCTTTAGCTGCGCGTAATCAGGTGCCCCCTCTTCATATACACCAGTGGTTCTCAACCTTCCTAAAAATAAATAAACCTTCCTAGTGCTGTGACCCCTGAATACAGTTCCTCATGTTGTAATAACCCCACAAGCATAACATTATTTTCATTGATACTTCACAACTGTGATTTTGCTACTGTTATGGATTGTAATGTAAATATCTGCTGTGCAGAATGTATTTCATTGTTACAAACACCATACCTGTCCAAACGTATCTCCTTCTACATCCCACCTTGGAGTTTAAGATCTTCTGGGGAGGCCCTGCTCTGAGCCCCACCTTTATCACAAGTGAGGCTGGTGGGGACGAGGGACAGGGCCTTCTCGGTGGTGGCCCCTCACCTGCGGAATGCACTCCCCGGGGAAATTAGCTCATCAACATCCCTCCTCTCCTTCAGGAGGAAGTTAAAAACCTGGATGTGGGACCAAGCCTTTGGGTAAGCTGGCAGATGGACAAGGACGACCAGAGCAGGGAAGGACAATGACAATGCTGGGTGGATTATGGAATTATAAATCAGCGAACATTGGCCACAGGATGATTTTATTACTGTTATTGTATTGATGTGATGTTTTAACTAGTAACGTTGATGTTAAATTGTATATTGTACTTTGTAAATTGTTGGGCATTGAATTGTGCCTTTTTTGTAAGCCGCCCTGAGCCCCCCCTAGGGGGTTGAGAAGGGCAGGGTAGAAGCACTCCAAATAAATAAATAAATAAATAAATAAATAAATAAACTGAACATAAAGCATAGTGATTAATCACAAAAACAATATGTAATTATTTATTGTGAAACATTTATTTCTAATTACAAATAAATGAAGTTTTGACTTCAAGCATGTTGCAGCATAGGTAACAGGCTTAATATAACAGCAGGGAGCCTATGAATATGTTTACTGATCAGCCTATTGGCCGAAACCAATAGATTCATCATAGTTTGTGGCAGCCACACAAACAAAGTTTCTGGAGGAGAACAACTACTTTCAAAGTAAGGGCCACACAATTAAACAGGAAACAACACTTTCAAACCAGGAACAGATTTTTGATCTATAAATGTATTATTATTTCCACAAACTTTTTAAACCAAGGGCCAGGTCACAGTCCCTCAAACTGTTGGAGGGCCGGATTATAATTTGAAAAAAACATGAATGAATTCCTATGCACACTGCACATATCTTATTTGTAGTGCAAAAAACACTTTAAAACAATATAATAATTAAAATGAAGAACAATTTTAACAAATATAAACTTATTAGTATTTCAATGGGAAGTGTGGGCCTGCTTTTGGCTGATGAGATAGGATTGTTGTTGTTGTTGTGTGCTTTCAAGTCATTTCAGACTTAGGTTGACCCTGAGCGAGGGCCGGGTAAATGACCTTGGAGTGCCGTATCTGGCCCCCGGGCCTTAGTTTGAAGACTCCTGCTTTAAAGCCTTTGATCTTTGATATTGTTGTTTTTAAATTGTTTTAAATTGTTTTTAAATTGTGCTAGGGTTATGTTAGGGTCGACTCTCTGGGATGGGTCTCAGGGGCACGGTTCTGTCGTGGCTGCGGTCCTTCCTGGAGGGTCGATCCCAGATGGTGAAGCTGGGAGATGCCTGTTCGGACCCCTGGCCTTTGACCTGTGGGGTCCCGCAAGGCTCTATTCTGTCTCCCATGCTTTTTAACATCTACATGAAACCGCTGGGAGAGGTCATCCGGAGTTTTGGAGTTGGGTGCCACCTCTATGCAGATGACACACAACTCTACTACTCATTTCCACCCAACTCCAAGGAGGCCTCTCGAGTGCTGGACGAGTGCCTGGCCACTGTGTCTATCTGGATGAGGAGGAACAAGCTGAAGATCAATCCCAACAAGACAGAGGTCCTTCTGGTCGATCGTAAACCTGACCGGGGTATAGGGTGGCAACCTGTGCTGGACGGGGTTACACTCCCCCTGAAGCCACAGGTCCGCAGTTTGGGAGTCCTCTTGGATTCATTGCTTACGCTTGAGGCTCAGGCGTCGGCGGTGTCTGGGAGGGCTTTTGCACAATTGAGACTCGTGCGCCAACTGCGACTGTACCTTGCGAAGGCTGATCTGGCCGGGGTGGTCCATGCCTTGGTCACCTCTAGATTGGACTACTGCAATGTGCTCTACGTGGGGCTGCCCTTGAAAACAGCTCGGAAATTCCAACTGGTCCAACGGGCAGCGGCCAGGATGTTAACTGGTGCTCCTTACAGAGAGAGGTCAACCCTCCTGTTTAAGGAGCTCCACTGGCTGCCGTTTATTTTCCGAGCCCAATTTAAGGTGCAGGTGCTTACCTACAAAGCCCTGAATGGTTTGGGACCATCCTACCTGCGTGACCGCATCTCCGTCTACGAACCCACGCGCTCACTTCGTTCATCCGGAGAGGCCCCGCTCGTGATTCCGCCTGCGTCGCAGGCACATCTGGTGGGGATGCGAGACAGGGCCTTTTCTGTGGTGGCCCCCCGACTCTGGAACACCCTCCCCAAAGATCTTAGACAGGCCCCTACGTTGGCAGTCTTTAGAAAGAACTTGAAGACCTGGCTGTTCCGATGTGCCTTTCCAGAATAGGAAAACTCCAATAACAAGTCCCAGAAGCACTTTATTAGAATTAAGATTGCTGCACACTGTGTTTTGAAGTCATTTCAGACTTAGGTTGACCCAGAGCAAAGGCCAGGTAAATGACCTTGGTGGGCTGTATCCGGCCCCCGGGCCTTAGTTTGAGGACCCCTGGTATAGACCCTTGATCCCTGGACTTTGTTTATTGAACTCTCGGCATTTGACCATTGGACTCGACCCTTTTGACTACAAAGTTATTTTTGCTATCAGTTTTTGTTTATTCTGTAGCTGAGTGCTATCTTTGTGTTTTATATTTTGGTCTGTTAAAACAGCCAGCAAGTAAGTGCTGTTTTAATTAAACTGTTTGATTCATCTCTACCTAAACAAGGTAGAGCCCTGGCAACGTGACAGATTCTAAGAAGGAGATTCCACCTGAACATGAGGAAGAACTTCCCGACTGGGAGGGAGAGAGAGAGAGAGCTGTTCAGCAGTGGAACTCTCTGCCCTGGAGAGAGTGTGGTAGAGGGAGGCTCCTTCTTTGGAGTCTTAAACAGAGGCTGGATGGCCATCTGTCAGGGGTGCTTTGAATGGAATTGTCCTGCTTCTTGGCAGAATGGAGTTGGACTGGGTTGCCCACGAGGCCTCTCCCAACTCATCTTCAAAGGCAATCCCACGTAGAGCACATTGCAGTAGTCTGTACCCAATGGTCAAATGCCGAGACCACTGTGGCCAAGTCAGACGTCCCAAGAGACGGGTGCAACTGCCGCACAAGCTTTATATATTGATTTATTGATTGATTTATTTGCAGTCTTTGTATTCCGCCTTTCTCCTCACCCCGCAGGAGGGGACTCAGGGCGGATTACAATGTACATAGACATGGAAAACATTCAATGCCATAGACACATAACATACATAGACAGACACTCAGAGGCTATTAACTTTCCAGCTCCTGGCCACCAGGAGAGCTGTCGCTTCTTCATTCTTTGCAATCTTGACAGATTAGAGAGATGGGCCAAAAATAACAAAAGTTCAACAGGGACAAATGCAAGATACTCCACTTTGGCAGGAAAAACGAAATGCAAAGATACCAAATGGGGGACAATGCCTGGCTTGAGAGCAGTACGTGTGAAAAAGATCTTGGAGTCCTCGTGGAGAGGAAGGAGAACATGAGCCAGGAATGGGATGTGGCGGCAAAAAAAGCCAATGGGATTTTGGCCTCAGGCATCAAGAGGAGCCTAGTGTCTAGATCCAGGGAAGTCATGCTCCCCATGCTCTATTCTGCCTCGGTTAGACCACTTTACCTGGAATGTTGTGTCCAGTTCTGGGCACCACAATTCAAGAGAGATATTGACTCTAAGCTGGAATGTGTCCAGAGGAGGGCGACTGAAATGATCAAGGGTCTGGAGAACAAGCCCTACGAGGAATCCTAGAGTTGGAAGAGACCTCCTGGGCCATCCTCCAGTCCACCCCCATTCTGCCAAGAAGCAGGAATATTGCATTCAAAGCACCCCTGACAGATGGCCATCCAGCCTCTGTTTAAAAGCCTCCAAAGAAGGAGCCTCCACCACACTCCTGGGCAGAGAGTTCCACTGCTGAATGGCTCTCACAGTCAGGAAGTTCTTCCTAATGTTCAGATGGAATCTCCTTTCTTATAGTTTGAAGCCATTGCTGGGCCATCCAGTCCACCCCAATTCTGCCAAGAAGCAGGAATATTGCATTCAAAGCACCCCTGACAGATGGCCATCCAGCCTCTGCTTAAAAGCCTCCAAAGAAGGAGCCTCCACCACACTCCCTCCGGAGCAGAGAGTTCCACTGCTGAACAGCTCTCACAGTCAGGAAGTTCTTCCTAATGTTCAGGTGGAATCTCCTTTCTTATTCTTATTTCTTACTTCTGGCTTTCCGCTCTGCTTTTGGCTTTCCCCCACTCTCTAAGCTTTTAACTTTCAATCTCTTGGTGATACTGATTCTCTGTAGTTTTCATAGATCTAGGTAGAATTTCTTGGTCCACGCTCTTGTTACATCCCGAATAGACTACTGCAATGCGCTCTACGTGGGGTTGCCCTTGAAGACTGTTTGGAAACTTCAACTAGTCCAGCGAGCGGCACCAGATTACTCACCGGAGCGACATACAGGGAGCACACCACCCCCCTGTTGTGCCAGCTCCACTGGCTGCCGGTTCAGTTCCGAGCACAATTCAAGGTGCTGGTTTTGACCTACAAACCCTGTACGGTTCCGGTCCAGTGTATCTGTCCGAACGTATCTCCCTCTACGTCCCACCTCGGAGTCTGAGATCATCTGGGGAGGCCCTGCTCTCGACCCCACCACTGTCACAAGTGAGGCTGGTGGGGACGAGGAGCAGGGCTTTCTCAGTGGTGGCCCCTCACCTGTGGAACTCACTCCCGGGGGAAATCAGGGCATCATCATCCCTCCTCGCCTTTAGGAGAAGGGTGAAGACTTGGTTATGGGACCAGGCCTTTGGGCACTCCGGCAATTAAATCAGACAACCAGGCGAGTAAGACCAGCAGGATTGATGAAGTGGAACATAAAACTAGATCTATGAGTAGCGAACGCTGACCATGTAAGAGGAGAAATTGGGTTTGTATTTGGTTTTATTGATTTTATGGTTATAATGTATATCTGTTGTTAACTGTGTATTGATGTAATTTTGTGTTTGATTGTCTTTATGATGCAGGCATCAAATTGTGCCTTTGCTTTTGTAAGCCGCCCTGAGTCCCCTTCGGGGTGAGAAGGAAGGCGGGGTAGAAGAACCCCAAATAAACTTCCTGTTTCCTGTGTCCCACCTCCTTTCTTTCCCAACAATTTTTTACCTCATAAAAAGGTCTCTTTTGTTGAATATTTTTATATTGTGTAAATGCTATTTTAGATTGTAAGTCGCTCGGAGCACCTTGGTGGAGAGTGACTAATTAAGAAATAAAGTGAAGTGAAGCGAAGTACCCGCCTCCACTCACTTTGTTTTGGAAGAAGGGGGATAGTAGACAAAACATTCCATGTTCAAGGTCAGTTCTTCCTATAGTTCCCCATCAAGATGGCGGTTTTCCCATCCTTCTCCCCCTAAAGACTCTTAAGAGCTTCTCATGGAAAGGGTTGGCCGTGTTTTTGATGGGCGTCTTTAGAAAAAAGATTTTCCCCTGAGTAGATTCCAATTTTGTTAAACTCTCTTATGCTGATATGGTTGTCTTAGACTGATAAACAAATTGAAACTTAACCCAGACAAGACAGGGATACTCCTCATCAGACGGAAGGTAGAGAAGGGAATTGGGATCTAGCCTGTGCTGGATGGGGTCACGCGCCCCTGAAGACACAGGTCCCCAGTTTGCAAGTCCTCCTGGAGGCCGGGGAGGCCCTTGCCCAATTAAAACTCATGCGCCAACTGCAGCCATTCCTAGAGAAGCCASATCTGGTCATGGTAGTCCTTCGTCACATCCCATGTGGATTYCTGCCATGTTCTGTATGCTTGGCTGCCCCTGAAGAGRGCTTGAAAACTTCAGCTGGTCCAAAGAGCTGCAGCCAGGTTGTTTTAATGTTTGCATGTTTGTATATCTTAAATTGTATGCCGATGTTTTATGTTAAACTGCTTTGAGTCTCCATGACGGGAGATTAAAGCAGGCCGTAAATCAATATAATAACAACAACAACAACAATAATAATAATCATAATAACCTTTTGCTTCTTTCATAACCAGTTAAATGAGGATTCTATGGAGCCACCGCTTGGATGGAGTAAAGAAACCAATAACATAGGAAGAAGAAGAAATCCTCTCAAGGTGATGATCTTGCAGAATTCTTGACATAGCAGATAAGAAAGAAAAAAAGAGTCAAGTATCTGCATTGCAATTAAATACCCTTATTACTGTTGATATGGCGGAGAAACCCCATACATGCTTAGCCTGTGGACAGAGCTTCACCTACAGTTCAGGTCTACGTTCACATCAAAGGAGTCACACTGGAGAAAAACCCTATAAATGTCTGGAATGTGGAAAGAGCTTCACTGAGACTGGAAACCTACGTAGACATCAAAGGATCCACACTGGGGAGAAACCCTTTACATGCCTGGAGTGTGGAATGAGCTTCACGCAGAGGGGAAGCCTACGTAGACATCAAAGGACTCACACTGGGGAACAACCCTATAAATGTCTGGAATGTGGAAAGAGCTTCACTGAGACTGGAAACCTACGTAAACATCAAAGGACTCACACTGGGGAGAAACCCTATACATGCTTAGCATGTGGACAGAGCTTCACTCAKAGTTCCGGACTACYTTCACATCAAAGYACCCACACTGGGGAGAAACCCTATACATGCCTGGAGTGTGGACAGAGCTTCACTGTGACTGGAAACCTACATAGGCATCAAAGGACTCACACTGGGGAGAAACCCTATACATGCCTGGAGTGTGGACAGAGCTTCACCGACATTTCAGGTCTACGTTCACATCAAAGGACTCACACTGGGGAGAAACCCTTTAAATGCATGGAGTGTGGAAAGAGTTTCTCTCAGAGTGAACATCTACGTTCACATCAAAGGACTCACACTGGGGAGAAACCCTATACATGCCTAGAGTGTGGACAGAGCTTCACTAAGAGTGCAAATCTACGTAGACATGAAAGGACTCATACTGGGGAGAAACCCTATACATGCTTTGAATGTGGGCAGAGCTTCTCTCAGCGTGGAAGTCTATATTCACATCAAAGGACTCACACTGGGGAGAAACCTTATAAATGCCTCTACTGTGGACAGAGTTTCACTCATAGTAAAAGTCTACATTCACATCAAAGGACTCACACTGGGGAGAAACCCTATACATGCCTGGAGTGTGGAATGAGCTTTACCCAAATGGGACATCTACGCTCACATCAAAGGACTCACACTGGGGAAAAACCCTATACATGCCTAGAGTGTGGACAGAGCTTCACTGAGACTGGAAGCCTAGGTAGACATCAAAGGACTCACACTGGGGAGAAACCCTATACATGCCTAGAGTGTGGAGAGAGCTTCACTCAAAGTTCAGGTCTACATTCACATCAAAGGACTCACACTGGGAAGAAACCCTATAAATGCCTGGAGTGTGGAAGGAATTTTACTCAGAGTTCAAATCTACGTTCCCATCAAAGGACTCACACTGGGGAGAAACCCTATACATGCCTGGAGTGTGGAATGTGCTTTACCCGAATGGGACATCTACACTCACATCAAAGGACTCACACTGGGGAGAAACCCTATACATGCCTAGAGTGTGGACAGAGTTTCACTGAGACTGGAAGCCTACGTAGACATCAAAGGACTCACACTGGGGAGAAACCCTATACATGCACACAGTGTGGACAGAGCTTCACTGAGACTGGAAGCTTACGTAAACATAAAAGGACTCACACTGGGGAGAAACCTTATACATGCCTGGAGTGTGGACAGAGCTTCACTGAGACTGGAAGCCTACGTAGACATCAAAGGACTCACACTGGGGAGAAACCTTATACATGCATAGAGTGTGGAAAGAGCTTCATTCAGAGTGGAAGTCTACGTTCACATCAAAGGACTCACACTGGGGAGAAACCCTATAAATGCCTGGAGTGTGGACAGAGCTTCACCCAAAGTTCAGGTCTATGTTCACATCAAAGGACTCACACTGGGGAGAAACCCTATAGCATGTGAAAAGAGCTTCTTGGACAGTTGAACTCTACATAGACATAGAATTCACATTGGAGAGAACAGTGGTATCTGACCCCAGAGACACTCTCTAAGACAGAGTTTTCCAAACCTTTTCGACATACATCCTTTTTTCGACATACATTCTTTTGTGACATAATTCGGTTTAACTGGCATACTGGATCATAGAATCATAGAGTTGGAAGAAAATTCATGGGCCACCCAGTCCAACCCCCTGCCGAGAAGCAGGAAAATCACATTCATTTTCAACCTCAGCAACATGTAATGGAGGTTAAGGGTAAAGGTTTCCCCCCGACATTAAGTCCAGTCGTGTCCTACTCTGGGGGTTGGTGCTCATCTCCATTTTTAAGCTGAAGAGCTGGCGTGGTCCATAGTCACCTCCAAGGTCATGTGGCCGGCGTGACTGCATGGAGCGCTGTTACCTTCCTGCCAGAACGGTACCTATCGGTCTGCTCACATTTGCATGTTTGGAAGAACTGCTAGGTTGGCAGAAGTTGGGGTAGCAGCAGGAGCAACCTTTTGATCAGCAGGTTCACGAGCTCAGTGGTTTAACCCGCTACGCCACTGGGGGCTCCACTGGAGGGTAAACCAACCCCATATAAGATGTTCAAGATATGTATATAGGAGGGGTGGAGTCACGTCCCGATGAATGGTGGCTAGGTTCACTGGAAATCCAGAGGGATTTCCTGATTACACTATCTACAAATTAAGGAATATTACAATCAAGATAAAAAATAGGCTTCAGTTTGAAAGAATCTAATTGGGACAAAATTATAATCAATTGTTAGACTGGCCTACAGAATTGGAAGTGGTTAAAAACTGAATGATTAGGTGGTTGGAAAATTTAAGACGTCCCATACATATGAAAGAATGGGAACAAATTTGGACAAAAAAGTCAAAATATACTTATGCTATGGACTTAGAAGAAAATTTCCTAAAAATGTTTCATAGATGGTATATTACCCCAAAGAAATTAGGACTTATGTATAAAAAATGCAAGTAAAACTTGTTGGAAATGTAGGACCAGGAGGGCAGTTTTTCCACATGTGGTGGACTTGTAAAGAAGCCCCAAAATACTGGAAAATAATACATGAGGAGTCCCAAAATATACTTGGAATTAAATTTGGAAGAAAACCAGAATATTATCTCCTAGGTCTTACAGACTCTGATTTAAATTTGGATCATAATAAAGACATTCTATTTACTTACATCTCTAAGGCGGCAAGAATCTCATATGCCAAGTTTTGGAAATTAAATAAAACTCCAGATAGAGAAGATTGGATGAGTAAATTAAGAGAAATCAGAGACATGGACAAATTAACGTTTTTTTGAAGTCACATTCGGGAAGCCCAATAAGAAGGACGGACTGGACACTTTTTGATGTGTATGAAAAAGGGAAAAAAAACCAGAAAGATAATTTTGAGAGGTATTTCTCTGAATAACATAGACATTCTTCTCTGTTTAAATTTTTAATAAAATTAGGAAGATACAGACAAAAAGTAATGGCGGCGAAAGCACAGAATGGATGTCATTGGACATATTTTTATTCTCTCTCTCTTTGGGGGGGGGAGGGGGGGTTGGAGCTTCGACCACCATATTTCTTCTCTATTATTCTGACTTTCCTATAAAATGAATGTTCCCCCACTTTCCATGTGAATATTCCTTAGTTCTATTTCTTCTTTTTTCTTCCTTCTTTTACTATCGATAATATACTAATAACAAATATTTTAAAGAAAGAAAACACATCATGATTAATGTCTGCTAGAAGAGATAAAGACCGTAAATCTAAATTAACTACTACAAAAGTTACAGAATATTTTTTAAGAGCCAGAACAAAACAGAAGCTTAGACAGTCTGTCTGCGCGGAGAGCTTCAGAGACAGAGACAAAGAGCAAAGGAGGGAGGAGAAGTAGTAATGGCGGCAAAGCATGACCAGGGAGCACTGGGGGAAAGCAAGGGGCCATCCCCAAGCAACCTCCGGAGCCCCAAGAGCCACCACGTTTAGAGCTCTCAGCACAATTTAAGACACAAATTGAAGAATTAAGAAATACGATTTTGGAAAGTGCTTTAAAGATTACATCTAGTCTTAAGAATCTGGAGTTGCAAGTTGCTGAGCAGGCTGAGAAAACAACTTCCTTAGAAAGAAAGGCCGACTCCTTGGGGACGAAGATGGAGACGGCGGAACAGCAGGTGACGTCCAATACTAAAGATCTACATCAGCTACAAATTGTCTCTCACAGACATGATTTAAATTTTATCTCATTGGCAGACAGAGACAGGAGATCGAACATTAGGATCAGGAACTTTACAGAAAACCAGAGACTTTCAAAAATTTAAGAGAAACAATAATAAATTGGATCCGGGAAATAACAAAAGAGGATTGGCAGCAGTCTCAGTTTGATGGTATTCATTGTGAACAACCTCCAAGCCCAGGGATATTGTAATAAGATTCTCAAGCTATTACTACCAAGATCAATTCATGCAAGCCACCAAATAAATGTATATATAAATATATTCAGGAGGATCAGTGTGAGTTTACAGGAGGAAGACAAATGTCAAATTTCATGGGTAGGGTATTAAACATAATTCATAGTATTAAAAAAAGAAATTTAGTGGCAGGAGTCTTAGCTTTAGATAAGGCATTTGATAGTGTAGCCTGTCAGACAATGAAATTAATTCTAGATAAATTTGGATTTGGAGAAAAATTTAGAAACCTAATTGATAAATTATTTTCAAAAAATGATGGTTTACAGGGAAAATAGATATAACATGAGGCAAACGGCAGGGATGTCCTCTTTCCCCAATTTTATTCGCAATTGTAATGGAACTATTTGCTAATGTAATAAGATAAGATAGTAGTATAAAAGGAATAGGAATAAAAGAGAATTATGAAATAGATTTGTTTGCAGATGATACCCTTTTATCAATGGAACATCCAATAAAACAATGGGAGAAAACTGAGGCTCATTTTACAGAATTCAGATTAATTTATTATTTATTTATTTATTTATTTCTTGCACTTATTAACCGCCACTCTCAGCCCTAGGGCGACTCGTGGCGGTGTACAAAACATAGAAAAGACAATTTACAATAAGTCATGACAACAAAACAACACTATTAATACATAACATCTAACTATACAAAAATCCGCATCGTCTTGACATGGGGTCATAATCAATCTCATAGTCGTGGTCCATTCCGGTCGTCATATCACATAGCACTCAATTGAAGGCCATCTCAAAGAGCCATGTTTTCAGGCCCTTACGGAAGGCCATGAGGGAAGGCGCCTGTCTAACTTCAGCAGGGAGGGTGTTCCACAGCCGGGGGGCCACCACCGAGAAGGCCCGCTCTCTCGTCCCCGCCAGGCGTGCCTGTGAGGCAGGCGGGACCGAGAGAAGGGCCTCCCCAGATGATCTCAAGGTCCTCGTGGGCTCGTAGGCCGAGATGCGGTCCAAGGTATTTTGGGCCGGAACCGTTTAGGGCTTTGTAGGATAACACCAGCACCTTAAATTGGGCCCGGTAGCAAATCGGCAGCCAGTGGAGCTGGGACAACAAGGGCGTAGTACGCTCCCTGCGTCCTGCTCCTGTTAACAACATGGCTGCCGCGCGTTGGACTACCTGGAGCTTCCGGGCCGTCTTCAAGGGTAGCCCCACGTAGAGAGCGTTGCAGTAGTCAAGGCGGGATGTGACCAAAGCGTGTACCACCGTGGCCAAGTCCGGCCAAGTCAGGTTTACAAATTAATTGGAACAAATCAGAAATGATGGTATTTAACTATCAAGAAGAAGAGATAAAAATATAAAACAGGAGGGGGAAAAATAAATGATTAAATATTTAGGGATAAATTTAAAGAATTAAAAAAACCAGAAGTAAACAATTTAACCAAATTAAGAAAGGAAATTGATATTTATTTATTTTATTTATTTGCTTTATTTTTATACCGCATTTTTCAGCCTAATTCGGCGACTCAATGCGGTTTACAATGCAATTTATTACAATAACAATTAGTTAAAAACACAGTATACACAACGGACAATACAAACAACACAACATAGTCATCAACGCCTCAGTAAAATCAGATTCCGTTCTCGTAATCTTTCTACCATTCCTTGTTCATTTATACCGTCTTCATGAGTTCAATTGCCATGTTGACCAAACGCCTGTTCATAGAGCCACGTCTTGACCTTCCTCCGGAACTCCAGCAATGAAGGGGCCTGCCTGATGTCTACGGGTAGGGCATTCCATAGCCGAGGGGCCACCACCGAAAAGGCCCTGATAGGAAATTAATAGAATACAACAAGCTCAAATTATCATGGTTCGGTAGGATAGCATTAGTTAAAATGAAGATATTACCCAAACTAAAATTTCTATTCAGAATTCTTCTCATAGAAATCTCAGATCAAGAAATAAAAAACTGGCAAAACATGTTACATTTGTATTGTAATGGGAACAAAAAAGCAAGAATAAAAGCTTATGGTATAAATCTCAGAAAGAGGGAGGTCTTGGACTACCAAACCTCAAGTTATATTATCATTCAAATCAAGTAAGATATATAGTAGAAGGTTTAGCAAAACAAAAGAACTTGGAGTTGCTGGAAGAAGATGAAAAAAAATATATAACTGAGATTAGAATATATGTTTATAGGGGTGATAGAGAAAAGGGTAAAAATAAATTGTATAATAATTTATACAACCCCCTTTAAAAAATATTTTGGAGATTTGGGGGAGATATAAAAAAAAGACCTTATGCCAGGGATTTCTCCTTTCATGCCAGTTCTAATGACAGAAAATTTTCCAGCAAATTTGAAAAAAGGACTTGAAGCAGAATTTAATGGAAGAGGTTTAATGAAAGCAAAGGACTGGGATTTGAAGATGGTAAAATGGAAAGGATAAAAGAGGAATTAAGAGACTTAGATTGGCACAGGTATCTACAATTGGGTAAATGGTCAAGTGATATAAAGAAAAAGTATAATGGGGGAGGGAATATACAAAAATAGAAAAGATGGTAACTCAAAGGGAGACTAAAGAAGAGAATACAACATTAAAAGGTACCGTAAGTGATATCTATAAACTCATTAATCAATGAAGAGGAACAAG